TTCTGAAAGGGAATGTTAAGTTTCTTTATGCCTCAGTTTCCTCTCTTTACATGGGATATAACATGTTTGTTTTGGGATTATTGTGTGAATTAAGTAAGAAATATAAAGCATTTCATCACTGTTAGGATTCTCTGCCTTATAGGGGCCCAGACATTAACAGACTGCCTGAGAGTGCCTGGACCCAGCCTCCATGTGGTAGTGAGCGTCCCCAAAGCATGTCATGCACATCCCACCACCCCAGGTCTAGGCTTCTCTGCCCTTTAGTGGGGGCCCAGATTTTTGCACACTGCCTGAGAGCAACTAAATCCGGGCTCCCCTTAGCGAGCTTCTCAAATTGTGCTATGATAGCCCACTAGTAGGGGTCCAGACCTAGGGGAAAGCACAGGAGCTCCTGAGTGGCTGATTTGAAACCATCTGTTACTTCCAATATAAAATCTGAGAGAACCTAAAGCCTAAACCAACCAGCTTTACACACCCAATAAGAAAATATCCAAGGCACACCAATAATACAAACAGAAGCAATCTTTGACCCAACAAAGGAAGGTTTGAGTTTCACACTAGAATCACAAACAACAAAAGAAATACACATGTCAAAATCACAGTGAAAAATAATAGTATGGAAAACCAAAACAGTATGCTCCCAACAAACATCATCAGTCCTAGAGAAGAGTTCTACAGGGAGAACCCCATAGACATAACCCAGGACACAGATTTTTTTTTAAAAAAACATAAACATAAAGAATTAACAAATTTAAAGAACATATAAACAAAGAACTAAAAGAAGATAGGGATAAACTTCTGACTGAATTCACAAAAGCGATAGAAATATTGAAGAAAACTCAGACTAAAATGAAGAAGGAAGTGAAAAAAATCAATAAGCTAATTTGAAACAACAGGAGAAAGCCTCACTGCTAGAATGAATGAAATGGAAAACAACATCAAGACTGGAAGATAAAGTTGAGGAATTGGACTCCTCAAGCAAAGACTTTGAAAAAAATTTTTTTAAACACAGGAATAGAATACACAGGAAATGTGAGACACTATGAAAAGACCAAATTTATGTATCATAGGCATAAAGGAGAAGAATTTCAAGTTAATGGTATTGACCAGATCTTAAACAGGATTTCAGAAGAGAAGCTCCCCAAATTAAGGAAAGACATGCCTGTACAAATACAAGAAGCACATATAACACCAAATAGACAGGACCAGAAAAGAAACTCCCCACAGCATATCATAGTAAAAACTAAATGTACCGAACAAAGAGAGAATACTGAAAGCTGCAAAAGAAAAACAAGTCACATATAAAGGGAAACCCACCAGAATTACAGCTGAATTTTCAGTGCAAATGATGAAAGCCAGAAGAGCCTGAACCAAAGCACTCCCAGTCCTAAATGACCATAAAGGCCAACCTAGAATATTTACCCAGCAAAAATGTCTATTATAGTTGAAGGGGAAAGAAAAATCTTCCATGACATGAATAGGCTGAAAGAATACATGTCCACAAAATGAGCTCATCGGAGAATACTTGAAGCAATACAAAGAATGGAGAAAGGAACAACTATACCCAAGGGGCAACAGAAAGGAATTAAATGAAGGTATAATTGTGGAAACACAAAATTAGATCAAAAATGCAAAGAGAAATTAAAATGAAGGCAACCAATACACATCTCCTCAATAATAACTAATAACTTTAAATATCAATAGACGGAACACCCCAGTCAAAAGACACTGGCTAGTTGAATAGATTAAGAAGCAAAGTCCATCCTTTTTTTGTCTGTAAGAAACCCATTGAACCTTCAAGAACAGGAACTACTTTAAAGTGAAAGGATGGAAAAGAATATTCCAAGCAAATGGCACTAAGAAAAAAACAGGGGTTGAAATTCTACTGTCAGACAAAATAGACTTCAAATGAAAACTAATCAGAAGAGATAAAGAGGGTCACTTCATTCTTATCAAAGAAACAATTAACCAAGAAGATATTACAATCATGAACATATGGGCACCAAACTCAGGTACACCCAATTTCATTAAAACAGTACTACAGGACCTTAAGACACAGGTTAACCCCAATACAGGACTAGCAGGGGACTTCAATACCCCACTGTCTCCATTAGACAGATAAACCAGAAGAAGAATAAACAGAGAGACATCTAAATTAAATGATACCACACATCAAATGAACCTAACAGACATCTACTGAATACTCCATCCAAGCACCAAAGAATACACTTTCTCTTTAGCACCCCATAGAACTTTCTCAAAAATTGAACACATACTGGGGCACAAAATAAACCTCAACAAATACAAAAAAAACTGAAATAATTGCATGCATTCTGTCAGACCACAATGCAATAAAGCTTAAAAATCAACACCAAAAGAAGCCCTAGGAACTACATGAACTCATGGAGATTAAACAACATTCTCTTGAATGATGAGTGGGTCAAAGAAGAAATTTAAAAAGAAATTAAAGTACTCCTGGAACTAAAAAAAATGATAATAAACACAACACAACCTCTGGGATACTTTAAAAGCAGTCCTAAGAGGGAAGTTGATAGCTCTAGGTGCCTACATTAAAAAATCAGAAACAGCACAAATAAATGACTTAACATTGCAACTTGACTCTGGAAAGCCAAGAACAAATGAAACCCAAACTTAGCAGAAGAGAAGAAATAACAAAAATTAGAGCAGAAATTAATAAAATAGAAACAAAGAAAACAATACAAAGAATCAATGAATCTAAGGGCTGGTTCTTTGAATAGCTAAATAAGATAGACAGACCCTTAGCCTAGTTAACCAAAA